CGTTATTGACTGTGTGAATTTCATTTTGACCGCTCTCTAACTGTGACCTCATTAGCATGTGTCCACCAGAAAAGTTTAAAATGTGCCATTTGCAATCTTATTGTGGAAAGATTTTCTTCCAATATTAAAAAAAGTATCATCATAAAAATATCAGTTGTTAATTCACAAACCTAAATTTAAGTCAATCAGAATCGCCTTTGCGTTGAGTATAGTTAGTGAAAAGTAAGACCTACCATTCATGTTAATGTTACTATGTAATTTATCTGCAGGATGAGAGAGAGTGCTGTATTAATGGAATACTGCTGTAAACTTGAATCAGGGGATACTGTGCTGCAATTCGGCAGGGTTCATGAAACCGTTTTCGAAAGTAAAATCACTGCTGTAGGAAGAATGTATTATTAAATATATACTTCTAAATTTCTTCCGTTTTAGATAATATTGAGAAAACTTTCTCAATTATAAAAAAGCCATGAAGAAGTTTCAGAATAGCTGTCGTCAAACAGTTAAGGATCATAAACTGTCAGTAGCCAACAAATCTCCAGGAGATTAAAGTTCCTTAAAAATGCCAAAGATGTTCTAATCCCATATCCGACTGTGTTGTTTAATCCAATATTGATTACATGTAATTTTTCCAGTGTCTTGGCTGCTTCCTCTATAGCAGAAGGAATCAGGAACCTAATAACACCAGAGGAATCTCCTTACGAGGGGCGTTTTGGAAGTTGGACATTTGTGTTACACAAACAATGTCAGCTTGTGGCAGGTGTGGCACTAGTCATAACATCAGGTTGATACGTGTCATAACATCAGGTTGATACGTGTCATAACATCAGGTGACACGTGTCAAGTTCAGACACAACAATACCTCAGATATGATGGTTTCATTCAGGGTGGTCACAATCATGGAATATCTCAGACATGAACAACGCGCTGTAATGAAGTTCCTCACCAAGAAGGGATGCAAAGCAAAAGAAATCCATGATCTCATGTAAAGTGACGGGTAAGGATCATCCTGACTATTCCACAGTTTGTTGTTGGTCTCTACAGTTTAAAAGGGTAGGAGTCTATGGACGATGACCCAAGGTCAGGAAGGCCTTCAGATGCTACCCAACCAGAAACCGCTATAGAAAGAGGAATTTTGTCTGACCCACGAATAAAAGGATCTGAAATTTTTAAGGAATTCCAAATATCAGCTGGAACTTTTTGAAACCATTAATCATAATCATCTTGGTATGTCAAAGGTATCTGCAAGATGAATACCTAGAAACCTCAGAGCAAAAGATCGCCATCAGAGAACTGAAAGTTGTCGACAACTTCTGGATCTCAATACTGCTGATGAAGCTGGATTTCCCTTCTCGTCTTGTGACAGGTGATGACATATTGATCCGCCACTGGGACCAAGAAACTAACTTGGAATCCATGCAATGGAAGCACCCCACTTCTCCGCCTCTGAAGAAGTTTCGCACTCAACCATCGGCTGGCAAGATAAAGGCCACCATATTTTCGGATGCAAGAGGCATATTAATGACTGATTATATGCCAACAAAAATACAGTCAATGGACAGTGTTACGCTACTTCAATGATAATTGCAACAATCTGTTTGCCAGAGACGCCGTGGGATGTTAACGCGTGGTGTCTCAACTTTTGCGTAGGATATGTGAATATCCGTGAATGTGGATTCGAACAGTGAAATCAACCACCCTACAGCCCAGATGTAAAACCCAGTAACTATTTCTTGGGTTGGGTATTGCGAAACTGTTCGTATTGCGATTCTATATTGTGAAAGTGTAACAGATGGGTTAAGGTAATGAAATAACTGTTTCCTTTGAAACAATGCCAGTGGCCATTGTCAGAACTCAGATGTGATTGTACAAGAGAAATGTTTCCAAATTGAAGACTTCTGCTTTAAAGTTTGGAACTCGAGAAAACACGTCTGCAGTGGCGTCCGCCATTTTGGTTTGTTTATCCTTCATCGAGTGCCGGTACAAATCTAGTTTTGTATTTATATGGTTTTAAAATATGACCAATAAACATTCTCAAAACTATTAATGTATAATAATATAAAGGAAATACAAATGTTATTAGTAGTTTTGACTATATCACGATAATTACTGATCGTATCGGGTGAACCGGTTCGCATAAAGTGTACCGCAATATATCTAACGTGTAGTTCGAATTGCAATATACCGGTTAACCGGTATCATCGCCCACCCTCACTATATCCTGTTCGGAAAATGAAATCTCTTTGATGGAGATTTTGCTTGACAACGACATTAGAATATATGTCGAAACGTCGCCTTTCACTGAATAAAGAAGTTGTATATCCATAAAAATACCATCATCAAATGAAATCTGCCCTATGTAGAAGAGGCTTCCAGAATGACGATTACATAAATGCTGCCTCAGAGGTGTGGTTGGAGGGCCAATCTGCAGATTTCTATAAAATTGGTAATAAGAGCTTGAAGATCAAATGGAATAAGTGTCTTTAGGAAAATGAAGATTTTTTGAAAAATAAAAGTGCAAACAAATTTCGGCGACTTGGTCTTATATTGAAGTTGCAAAATATATTGAACGCATCTCGTACATCACGCACAAGTAAAGATTATTTTCTTGCATTATAAATAGGAGAATGGATACTTTCCTTGAAGATAAACATAATCATAGCAGAATACAAAGTGGGTTCACAAATACCCTAACACTGTCAACAATATATTTATTTTACAAGGCGTTTGGACATAAATACTTTACATGTGAACTTTATAAACGTACCACTTAAGACTGTTAGTTCCTATAAATATTTGAGCCCAATCAGAACACGTTAGTACAGCATTTACTACAGCATTTATACCAATAATGCCTTTACGATGTCCCACAATCAATCAACTCAGCAAACCTCAACATCAATTCTAAATTAATCTACCCCCACTGTCACACTCATTTGTGAACTTGTTTCTGTAAACCAGGAACTCGCCTTTTGCAAGAACGTGTATCGAAAAAAATCTGACCAAATTTTGTTCACTCAATCAACATGCTGTACACAGTTGTAAATAATAGAGAAGCATATCCTTGATGACATACGTCTTTAATGAACAACTAGTCGTACTATTTACATGTATATACTTGAAAAATATACAGAAATATTTACACTGATTGGTCTATTCAATCTCTTCGTATACATGTTCATTGCTCTCTGACACACTGTTGTCTGCAGTATCTTGAGGCTGAAGGTAGCCATCACGGTATCCTGTTTCATCACTGGCTCTGTCAGACCTGGAGGGACAAAGTTAAGTTACCGGATTGAACGATCATTACTCGTCGTCGTCTCCGGTGTCTTTCGCTGCCAAGAAATGTATCTCTTGGTACGTTAGAGTTCTTTAACGTACGGGGATGGCATTTACATTTGGGATCTGGAAACAAACGAGAACTACATGCAGGGGCGGATACAGCTTTTGGGGAAGGGGCGTGCACACTATTGAGAAAGGAGGGGTGCACACTTCATTTTCACCCGAGTGTCAATGGTCATTTAATAAACTTTCAGGATCCGCCTATGACATGTTATTTAAATTTATGTATCCATGAAAATCAATACCCAAGGAAGTTTCATGTACGTGCATTTCCGTTCTCCATTAACGTGTAGGCCCGTGCTAAATATTATATATTTTGCATGACACCAGGCATGCGCATTAAACATGCATTATCTTTTCCTAGGATACATTATAATTTGCAAAACAAGCCCAGGTTACGTAATAATTTTAAACGACCAGTCAGTATGAGAGGTCATTACGGCTTCAATGTAAAGTATACAAGTTCAGTATGTTAACAGAACCATTGTCCTTTGATCAGAACTCTTTACATGATGAATCTAAGACGCCGTTTATCAACATGGCAAACACGTTGAGTGTATATGATTGGGTAGATCCATTTCAATGACAATAGAAAGCACCTTATAGGCGTCAACCACGTGAACCTTGCGATTTTAAAGGAGTCTATTTTCGAGAGATTTTTCATTTTACAATTACCAAAGGTTACACGCAGGAACAAATATCAATCTCCATTGTGTTACTCTGCAATTGTAACCAAAGATGTATTACGGGCTCTTAATGAACTTTTGTAATTGTGAGAACAACACTTTCCATAATTATAAGTGAGCTCTGATTTCGCACTGGAAGCATGGACATATGTCTTTGAATCACCATCAAATGGTAACGAATAAACCCTAGCTGTCTAATAGCCCAGAAACGTCGTGTTGTAAATAATAAAGAAGTTGTAAATCCATACCATACGTTGTTATGTTACCTTCCAACTTCTAAATGTCCATCAAGTATCTAACGGAACATGTTTCTATTTATCTTCCTGTAGATTTGTAGAAACAAGGAACTGAATAGACTTTTTCTTTTGGGATTGATAGTTTACAGGTGTTTAAACAGAGATGAATATAGACCCGCGATATGTATATAGATTATATTATATAGCCAAACAAAACACATCACAGACATGTCTTTTTCTGTAATTATACCACATTGCTTTGTTGGTTGTTGGTCTCACGCCCCATTCTTTCAGGGACAGATTTCCGGTTAACTACACCATAAGTTGGGAATCTTGGGGAGCAACACAATGTGGACATTTGGAAGACTGATGCATCTCCAAAGACGTGTTGGACACTGATGCATCTCCAAAGACGTGTTGACACTGATGCATCTCCAAAGACGTGTTGGAAGACTGATGCATCTCCAAAGACGTGTTGGAAGACTGATGCATCTCCAAAGACGTGTTGGACACTGATGCATCTCCAAAGACGTGTTGGAAGACCGATGCATCTCAAAGACGTGTTGGAATACTGATGCATCTCCAAAGACGTTTTGGAAGACTATATATGTCGCATCATAGTCAGCGTAACGGCATTACGAGTGTATGTATACCATACATTTCAAACATGCTTCTTGCCATACCGATACTTTCTCCGATAAATACAGAAGTTATCAAACATAATTACCTGAGAACAAAGAGACAGATCAGTGTGACTATCAGAACAACAGCAAACGCTGACACAAGAACATATGTTGTCAGCACCCTTCTTCCGTCTCTTTCTGTTGAAGTAAACATAAATAATAAAACCACTGCACGAAGATATCACGTAGTTACATTTAACATACACTTGACACATGATGTGTCTTCAAATGTGTCAACGTGGAATTAACTGATTTAACATTACACGAAGATCTCCGTGCTGGGCGTGTGTCCTTCCAAACAGCGCCAGTCAAGTTCGGAATAAGCAAAATGTAATGTCTGTGTGGTTTCTCAAGAAGAGAAAAACAGGGTTCATTATATGAGCCACCATGACCGAGCGCGTTATTGGTTTCTTTGATAATTGTTTATTAATATAATTCATCACATCCTCGTGACATAAGTGAACGTTGTTTAATGTTAACCTGAAGAGCGGACTGTTGATTAAGTAGGTGTTTAGAGCTGATATTGATATTTTCACTTGTATTGGCAGAACTTGTAATGCAACTCATAGAAGATTCTTAGTGACTGGTTCTCATACTGTTTCTGACATAGCATTAGAATTATAAGCAACAATACCCATAACCATTTGTATCATTAACTGCAGTCCTGACTTTTCATTGGGTCCAGTTTGAAGCAGCAGCCACACTCGCTTCTCCCTGGTGTAGAAACACCCAGTTTATGGTGATGTCATCTTCTTCACATATGCATCCAACTGGTCATTTCTCATACAAAGATGGAATTAAATTTGGTTCCTTTAGCTCGGGACTTGACCTTCATTTCAAAAGGATCCTCAACACCGGCCAGCTTTGCAAACATCTCAAATCTCTATGCCTTCAGCATAACCAAGTCCATCTGGTGACTTTGTCAGATGCAGTCTTTCCTTTCTGTTGGTCAAGAGTTTGACCGCCATGAGGTCCCGGCACTTGAAGAATTATCTATGAGCGCATTAATCTACAGCCTACCTGGCGGAGTGGTGTGTCCCTTGAGGAGGCAGTCGTGTGTGTCGGCGGGACAGTACTTGCTGTAGTCACTGACGGGCCTGAAAATGTATTACACAGTGTTTAACATGTTGCCTTCTCAACAGATTGATTGAGACAATGTGCCGCGACATTAATATTGATGCTGCAATTTTACATCAATTTTCTAAAATGATGGGCTCGGATCTGTGCAGCCAAATATGAACGTTACTCCACGTAAAACCCTCCCAACCAGGGCCGAACGAAAACTCCCAATACTGCAAGGAGTACGGTAATATTGACCAAAATATAGAATGAAATGGACTCTGTGAGCTGGACTGTGCATGTATTTTGTTGCAGGCACATCTGTTGTAAACATAAATTTAACAAGTTTTATCATTCAATTTGTCAATGGACGTTATATGAAATATGTTTAAGAATTTCAAAAATGAAAAAGCTGAACAATATTATGTATTTGAAGTAATTGTGAGCAGCCTTCATCAGACACAAGGGTGATAATACCAGGGGTACACCGCTCATCGGCCCCAGCGTACGCTACCTGTCAGTACCTACCATTCCCTTCAGAAGTGGTTGACAGGTTTAATCGTATGATCTTCACGAGTCCCCCAGACTCACACATCTGACCTGGGATCCAGGGTCGTGCATGGTTACAGTGTATTGTGTCCAACTGATACACAGGTATATACATTCAGATACATTGTATGTGCAATTGGTTAATACTGTGTACTCGTGTCCGTCTGGCAGTGTCCACGACCAATACGCTGTCTTTGAGGACCAGTGCCTGTAGCAGGTGATGCTCACCACTTCCCCTTCGGTGTAGGTCGATGTGTCCGGTGTAAGGCTGACGGAAATATCACTGGGTTTACCTAAACATAACTGGAAAGTTTCACTTTCGCTGTCTCGTTTAAGGATGAAACACCAGGAAAATGACACACAGTTGTTTGTTTGATGCATCTATGACGGGTGAATCTATATTCTAATTATAATCATTGTCTGTGTAGCAGATATTCGTGTGTGTTTTAGAGGCAAACATTACGTACTGTCAACGGTACATCCGTTCAGGTTTTGGAAACCCTGAAAACGTGTGCACATAGTTAAAAACTGTCTTAAGATTGAAAATCGCCAAAGCATGGAATTTACCAAATGCATTGATTTAAAACGCATGTATAGTTAACAACATTCGTCGTCACTCGCCTCTTTCCGTAACCCCTTAAGAAGCTATCCGGCTTGTCCCGGAATAACACGAGTTGGTCACGAATGAGATAACAGACACTGACAGCAATTTACGCCTAAGCCGACATCCATTAGCCGTGTATGTGAAAAACTCACAGGTTAAAGGCAAAGGTTATAACACGGAGCGTAAGCAATGTTCCCAGTGAGTGAGTGAGTGAGTTGAGTTTTACGCCGCACTCAGCAATATTCCAGCTATATGGCGGCGGTCTGTAAATAATCGAGTCTGGACCAGACAATCCAGTGATCAACAAGAGGAGCATCAATCTGCACAATTGGGAACCGATGACATGTGTCAACCAAGTCAGCGAAACTGACCACCTGATCCCGTTAGTCGCCTCTTACGACAAGATAGTCGCCTTTTATGGCAAGCACATGGGTTGCTGAAGACCTATTCTACCCCGGATCTTCACGGGTCTGTTCCCAGCCACATAAGATGAAATAGCAATGGCGAAACTGACCTTGGATTTCCAGACGAGATGTAACCGGTTCCATACTCGTAGCTTTACCCAAACGTTTTACTGCCATGATGCAAGAGTAATCTCCCCTGTCAAGACACGTGACATTATCCAGCACTATTTGGAAGAAAGCAACTGACGAAGAGTTTGTTGTCACGGACCCGGTGACGTCATAGTGTCGATTCGTCATATTATGGTGTATTCTATCTTGGAATAAGACAGCTACGGTAGATCCTCCTTTTTTAAGCATGATAGAGTAGACCTTCTGCGTTCTCGAGCGTGTCAGATCGAGGCTACACCGTATGGTCACGTGGCGTGATGAATCAAGATGAATTGTTTTCGGATGGATGTCGAGTTGAATACAGCATCCTGGCATTAAAGGAATGAATTTGAATCATAACTATGTACGAGTAATATCATTAAGAATAATTACTATTTTCCTCTAATTGACAAACAGACCATGCATTCGAAGCTCGTTTCTATGAAATTACTAAACAGTAACTTCTGGTATTTCTATACCTATATATCCGTAATGGTTGGCAAATGTGCACATCAGGTACGGGAGCACGGGTGGCCCACCCCAGGAGTTGCCTCCCTTACACACGAAACCTTTGATTGTGTGGTTGAATCCTGGTTTGCCCTAGTTATATTTCTAGGTTTCTCAGCCACAAAACCGTGCTCGTGTGTTTCATTAAAGCAGATCGATGTTAATACCCACTCCTGTATCATGTCAGCACGCCCAGGTCTGGCTGAAACACTCTTCAAACCTGCCGTTAAACCAAACTCACATTAAAACATATTGCCAGTCGAAAACACTTACCTCCCCACTGAGCCATTAACGCACAAAGCATCACCCGAGACGATAACAACATCATGCTGTATGTACTGGAAATGTATAGTGCTTGAATACATGGCACATTTATAGCTGATTGTATAGTGCTTGGTGTCAGACCGCGAGCTGAGACTGCGGATGGGTATAATACCTGGCGTTATGACACACACCCGGAAAGTAGTCAGTTTCACAATTGAAACCAAAGAACTGCTCTGTTGTTGTGTGAGCCGTATTGGTGAAACAAACAATGTATTTTAGATACAGTCGCATAACTTGCACGACCCCCTCCTCCCACCCTCTCTGCTCGCTGACTACACCCCATTGACTTCCCTTCTCCCTCACCCTTTCTCACTTTTCTGTAATACATATTACGTCACGGTATTTGACCGAAAGCGAAAGCGAAAATAGAACGAGAACGGCCGCGCATGCGTGTTATTGATTCACTACATTGAACAAGGCAAGGAAGACCGCTGCTGCAAGATGTATCTACATCTAATCACATTGTATTCCTACATCTAACCTCTGTACAAATGACATGTAAGTTGTTGGCGTATATCTCACTGTATTAGATATTATCTACCATTGTCTTGATGCTTTGTTACGTAGCTTTTGACTTCAATATGTTTTCTATAATAAATGCTATTTTCGGTTTTGGTTTGTCAACATGTGTTTTCCACATATTGTCAACAGAAAACGCAGCGCGTGAAATAATTACGAAATAACTCTTTATAGAGACCTGTTTGGGATGTGAGTGACTGCATGTCAGTGTGATCTATGTGTAACTCAATGATCATGTAGGTCGAGCAGTTGGTCTGTGACGGGTGCATGCCACTATACTGCTATAGACACTATACTGCTATACACTATACTGCTATAGACACTATACTGCATCCATACTACCGTTGAATAGCAGTGTATTTATGAGCACCTGTTAGTAATATTTTCAATCCTGTGTTTATAAAGATTATTGTTTTATAGAAGACAAGGACAGAGGCTAAATTTGTGTGGTATCTGTCGATTGTTGTGTTTCAATCTGTCAGTATGTTGTATTGCAGGCTGTACCGTGGAGTTAACAATAAACCCGGAAGTGATTACACCTGCTGCTACTGCACCTGTCACTGTCCGGTGCAGCCTTAACGTACTCTCATCAGACATCGAGAAGGTGTATTCTATCATGATCAGAAGACGGGAGACTACCATTGCTGTAGCATTCACAGACCGCAAGACTAAGATGTGCGATGAAGACTGGAGGCCAATGCTGTGGTGAACTCCTCACTCACAACACCGGAAACCTACCTGCAGTTATCACTGTTAAATGTGACTTGTGATGACATTGGTGATTATACATGCATTATGGCTGTCAGAAAACAGTACCAGACTATGAAGATCACGGGACCAGACAAAGCATACCTGAAGACGTCAGGTAAGCCATGCTGGCTTAAGTTGAACAACCCATCATGCGATCAGATTTATATGACACGGTCGCAGCAACATGATATGACCAATCTAGATTGAGATATAGTAAGTTAGCGAGTTTAGTTCTACACTGCACTCAGCAATATGGCGGCGGTCTGTAAATAACCGAGTCTGCACCAGATAACCCAGTGATCAACAGAATGAGAATCGATCTACGCAGTTGGGAATAATGTTGGGAATTGGTTTAAAATCTCATAATTGATGATTGATTCAATACAACCGATCAATCATCGAAAATAATTGGTTAGCGTCATTTATCAAATCTTCCTGGCTGTGTGTGTTAATGCACTAAAAATCTAGAAAAAACATGTAGTTCTTTGGGGTTTTGGGGTAAATTGCTCAAAATGCATTTTGCAAATTTAACATCTTTAAAGGATGACCTGTATGTTAGGAACATAAATTTCCTGGAGTCTTTAAGATAAATTCCATCATGACTTGGAACGAGCTTGTAGTGCTTATGAAATGTAACAGACAAAACCAACCATGGAAAAAATATTGTTAATGCAAACAAGTGTTTCAGAATTGTTCTTGTTCGATTATGAGAAAACATGATCGATTGCTTGGTCGTTTAGTCATTGCGACCAATCTTCGATTATTTCAACTAATCGGAGCACCACTAGTAGAACCGATGCCATGGGTCAACCATGTCAGCGTGCCTGACCACCCGATCCCGTTAGTCAGATGGAGATATAACAGGAATGGAAGTGTTTGGGACGAATGGATAATTTGCAGATCCTTATCGCAGCTATAAATATAGCACATTTGATCAGAGTACATACTATACTTTGAAGACAACACTATTTATCACGAAGACAATGTCGAACATATTCCTCTCTTAACCCAACACAAATTATGCGTTTTGGGTCTTCCTGTCACATGCAGTCACACAACCATAGAACTGTACACAGTGGATCCATCATTCTGGGCTGTAGTAGCCTCTAGGACCGGGTAACCATGCACGGCACTCATAGCTAATATGCAGCGTCTGTTTCTCTTTTCATTTTTCTTTCATTTTCAGTGACTTTCTTGTCATGTTGATTATTTTTGTATTAAGAGAAAAGGCTATATATGGTGAAATATGATGAGGTACCTCAATATGAAAACTGTTTCAGGTAACTCCTGCCCATTCATCGACAGCCTCGTTTACCCGAGACACGCACACCGACTGGAGGACACGGTGAGGGATAACATGCTTCATGCTGGTGAGGACTCGAGTATCAGGTTGGGTATGGACCTCCGCGGATGACCCACACAGTTGCCAGCTCCGCAGATGACCACACAGTCGCCAGCTCCGAAGAAGGATGCACCTTAGTCACAGGAGGGCGAGATGTTCAATTGTTCAACTGTTCTCCACCATCGGGTTTCTGTCAGACCATCTCTGATATGTCGACTAAAGAATTTCTCGAGAAGGGTTCGAATCGATGTCCAAGAAGATGCGACAGGTATCCGCACTCTTCTGTAAAGTTCGCCTTACTGTGTTGGGTTCAAAACTATAATAAGCATCTAACTTTATTGATAACATTTTTCTTGGTTATTGCATAGAGCGACATTTCGTTGTAGATTCCTACATCGTTTTCAAGCTTAAAGGCAACGCCAACCAAGTACATAAACTCAGTGTGTTGTGACAAGCTATGACCCAGGCCTGGAATTGTTTAGTCCATCATAGACGCCTCTCGCTTAATATCCAAGAAGTATTTTGGAGCGAGATACATGTTTTTATTTCCCGCCTCACAGTTTTCCATAAAATAACCTCATAACGGACACTGTTAAAGAGTTCTGTTCAATGTTTGGACTAAATGTTTAGTGAGGAACAATGAAGAGTGTTCCACCCTCTTTGGGCATCATATCCCGACAAGCCTGTTTGTATGCATACCAGCTTTTATATGAGAGAGGGGCGGTGGGGTAGCCTAGTGGTTAAAGCGTTGGCTCGTCGCCGAAGACCCAGGTTCGATTCCCCACATGGGCACAATGTGTTAAGCCCATTTCTGGTGTCCCCCGCCGTGATATTGCTGGAATATTGCTAAAAGCTGGCGTAAAACTAAACTCAGTCAGTTATATGAGAGCGGATGAGCTGAGTGTAAGGTGAAACCATACTTCTATAGATAAGCCATCTGTATTTGTTTGATAGAAACACAAAGCATATCTCAATTGAAATTACTCAAGGGTCATTGTCAACATGATTTGGAGAGAGCAGCATCCGATGTGGCACAATTCATCATTAAATTGTTGTCTTTATGATGTACAATTACAAACATTAGTGTATACATATGTGTATATTTATTTCTGCAGATCCAAGAACCATAATATTTTGGGAAGAGGAACATGAAGACTTCTTTCAGATGGGTGAATTTCCTAAAGATCACACACAAGTACCCGGTATGGTTTTTCAAAGTATTTACATCCCTTGACTAAAATATGCGATTTCGAAGTAAAGTAAGCCTGATTGAATTTCCATGTAGTGACAGGCTGTGTTGCCTCACTGACATGGACATTTCCATTGTTAAACTATAACAACAAAGCTGATTTATAATATCTGAATTGTATGTGTGTGTTTCATTTAGGCGTCGACATGTTCTGGGTCCAGGTCCTAGTCTGTTTCCTCTGTGTGCTGACTGTGGGCGGAATCCTGCTCAAATACTGGAAGACCATAGGGTTTGTATATAGCGTTGTTTAAGACCACATCCCTGAGGCGTTCCTGCTACAGTGTTCTTCAATTCACATCTGGGGCGGTGGGGTAGTCTAGTGGTTAAAGCGTTCGTTTGGTCGCACCGAATACTTCGATCCGCCACATGCGGTACAACGTGTGAAACCCATTTCTGGTGTCCCCACCGTGATACTGCTGGAATATTGCTAAAAGAGACGTAAAACTAAAATCACCAATTCATATCATTCAGTATA